TCCAGAAATGCAAGTGGAAACACCTGGCAGCACAGGCCCCCCAGACTGACTGCCTGTGGCTAGGCTGATGCGTTACGGTTTAGCCATACTCATTATGCAACATTTAGACCCCAACCTCAGAAAGAAGAATCAACTGGCCTGTCATGAGAGCCTAATGGCAATTGTTTTGTATGATAAAGAAGTCAGATATCAGTTTCACAAGGGTGAGGTCTATGGTACAACCCAAGTCAAAGCCAGGGAAGTAGATGTTTCTGGGGTTCTTTGCACAAGTGCTCTATGCTGTAAACACAGGATCCTTGGACAAAGACCTAGTTAACCAACGAGACATGTCTAGGCCTGCAGAAGTCCTGGGTTTCCTCTGTCTCTGAGATGAAGTCTAGTTTTGCTTGTCAGCTTTCTTAGTCAGGTTAATTCTGGACACAGTTGTCAGACTCCTTTTCTCTGTGCCACTGTATATTTATCATTTTCATATTCCTTTGGTAAGCTCTTCAATGGCTGCCAGAAAATAAGTAAGATAATTCATAAGCACACTTCCTGGTCCTTGGCATTTCAGATTCAAGTGTTTTCCTTCAAGGAATTACCCAGAGTAGGATCTGGGATATATCTCAGCAGCACAGCACCTGCCTGGCAAGTGCAAGGTCCTGAGTTCGATTCCCAGTATCAAAAAAAGAAAAAGAATTACCTAGAAGCACCTCAAGGCATTTACGGTGTCCTGAGACCTCTGTGGCTGTGACACTTGCTGCTGTCCTTCTAGTGGCTTCCTTCCTACCCTGATCTTACCCTGGTCTTAAGTATTTTTAGCCCACTGCCACTGAGGGTCTCAGCTGCATCTCTTGGCATGTAGAAGGAAATTCGTCTTACAGTAGTTGAGAAGTAAATGGAAATATTAGGCAGAATGTAATTCATGGCAGGGGAGGCTTCTGATGTTAGACTTCTAGAGCATGGAGAGGTGTCATCATGCCTGCTGGAGTCTGAATCCAAAATATTTCCTTTTGTCTAAGCTCATTTGAGTCTGGTTTCTATTGATATAACCCTGACACATGTGGAAATGGATCCTTCACAGAATATTGGAAGGAGCAGGCTTTATAACATTAGGCTGCCTGGGAGGTGGACCATCAGGGAGTATGGCTCCTTCTGGTTGGCATGGAGCTATCTTCTTGTCCTGGATACTTTCCCCTTCACATTTTTTTGTGTTCTTGTTACTGGGAATTGGCCTTCACAGACAAAGCCCTTGGGGAGAAGTTGGGGGTGCATATTTGCTTGCTGGAAGAGGGAGGGGACCCAGAAGAAAGATGAAAGGTAGCAGTTGGAAGTCCATATGCAGACAGATGTGAGATGAGTTGAAATCATCTTCTCACTGATGAATTTGTTAGATAGTATAATTTGTCAAATGAATTTTATTGTTTAGGGTAAATAACAGGAAAACAGGAGAATATCTGTGTTCAGTACAGATGAATAATTTCCTGAATATTTTCAGTCCACAAATATAAAGTCCATACATGTTGAAGGCTCACTGTATTTGTTATATTCAGAGGTAGGTGCGTCACATTTTATGAGATACCATGTGAAATGCCAGAACTCATAGTGGGTGATGGTCTCCAATTTGTTTTCTGTATTCTGGATCCTTTTGTCACCCTGCAGGTGGACCTTGAGGAGAAGATGGGTGAGTACTGTTATACAGAGAATGTTGTGAAATTGGCAAATGCCTAGGAGATACTGTTTAGTGCCTCCCCAGGCCTGCTGTTTATCTCAGCCCAGGCTCACCTCACTGTCAGAAAATATAGCTTCCCACCACCTAACCACAGGGTGCCATGTTTGTGAAGCTGATAAACAATTGCTCTTTTAATCCAATGAACACAGACTTTTTCCTTTCCTGGAACACAGATGCTATAGACAGAGCATTATTTGAATTTATTTATTTTGTACCCTTTATGTGCATCTAGAGTAATCATCAAGTCAATTTTAGAAGTGAGCCTGTAGGTCACTTTATTTGACAGATACAATAGTGTGTGGTTGTAGTCCCAGCTACTTGGGAGGCTGAGGCAGAAGGATTTCCTAATCCCTGAGCAACATAGCAATTCCCATCTCTAAAACAAACCCACATCTCAAAACAAAACGGAAGTGATTCATTGTATCTATTATTAAAATGTGGTATGATGTTACAATTGTGGTTACAATTCATATGGGAAGGTGAGGGGCAACAGGTGATGTAAAAAGACAAAACACAAGGAGCAGATTTGCTGGCTACCGTCCCAACACGTGAGTGGGAGAACTCACTTAGGGCAGAAAGGCATGGGTCCATTCATGAGGCTCCAGCCCAATGATCCAGGCATCTCCTGCCAGGCTCCACCTTCTGGTGCTGCAGCACTGAGGAAACATATTTTGGGGGACACTACAGCAGGCTGGTTTTATGGGTGATAGAGATGCTACCAGAAAAGACAGTATGGTGGATTGACAACTGGTGGCAAACTTGTTACACTCAGGTGAACTGAATCAACATGGCCCTGGGTGTGAAGGGCTTAACTGAGGATTGTTGCCAACAACAAAAAAAGGAGAACTGGAGAGAAACAGGGGGTGCTGTTGCTTCTCCTGGAGGAACTGGTCATGCTGGCTTTCCTGATATGAACTTGGCTGTTCTCATTGTCAGAGGAGCTTGGGACCTCATTGTTGATGCAAATGGCTGCAGTTCACTTTGGGGGAGCTCTGGTCCTTACTTTGAGCATCACTTCATGGCTCCTGTGCAGATCCCTCAGCCTGCTGGCACAGATCCTTTATCCTGCTGGCATAGACTTTCTAGCTTCCACCACTGACCTTTGGATTTTGCCAAGATACCTAAAAGGGGAATAGCTTCCCAGAGCAGATCCTTGATACAGACTTGCATGAGACATTGTCATGGGCTCTAGGTCTTCATCTGGATTCATGTAGGACATTGCTGTGGGATACAGGCCCTCAGCTGAATTCTTTGGGTCTTTAATGTGCAGAAGGAATTCACTGTCCTGTGCTGTTTTGCATTTGACTCTTTGCGTGACTATTATAAAATGAATTATGTGTTCTGTATGAAATTGTTTTCCTTGCAAACCCTGACTAAAACAGATGGCCATGCCTAGCACTGAAGAGCTCCCAGGGCTTCTATTTAAGAGGCCAGGGGTCTCACATAGAGCACTGGGAAGTCCAGCATGGGATTTTAGGTGCTGGAGTGGAAAGTAGGGAATATTTGGTATGAAGAGTACAAAAGACCTAATTGAGTCCCCTTAAATTTATATGTTGATCCCCTAGCTTCCAGTAGTTCATAGTATGACTATATTAGAGGTAACTAGGGTAAATAGTTAGGTGGGCTCCAGTTTGTTCTCATAAGAAGAAATTTGGAGGACATATAGGATGGCCATATAGGCTGCTTCCAAGATTTAGCTACTACAAATTGTGCTGCTATATACCTGAGTTATTCATGTATCATTGTTATACCATGTCTTTAACTCTTTTGCCAAGATACCTAAAAGGGGAATAGCTGGGTCAAATAGAATTTCTATTTTCAGTTTGTGGAAGAAGCTCCATACTGATGTCCATAGTTGTACTAATTTACATTTCCACCAACGATGTAGAAGAGTTCCAACTCTAACCTGTGTGAAGATGTCACTTTCAGAGTAAAACCCCACTTTGTTTTTGTACTTTACAATAGCTGTGGGAAGGAAGAACAGGTGGGGCAGGGATGAAAAAAATTAAGATATGTTATGTACACATGCCAACTCCCCACAAGGAACGTAATCATTATGCACTACAAACATGTGGTAATAAAGAATAAAAATTGAAAAAATAGCTACGCGTTATCCTTGGAGTTAGCACCACTGGCCAAGTCTCTTATTTCTCCTTAGACCTGCTGGCCTGCTGGGCTTACCTTCTGTCCCTAGCACTGGCCTCTTTCACCATTAGATTGTTGGTTGGCACTTCTGCTGCTTCATGCCGAGGGGAAATGAAATATAGAGCCAGGTCAGAGTTAGCAGATGGCCATGCCCAGTGCCCAGGATTCAGGTGACAGAGTTGGTTGGGGGGGCCATGCGTGGCTCCATTGAATACATGTGGGGTGCAGCTTCATCTGGTCCAAGGAGCATGGGTGTGTGGCTTTGCCTGCTTATTACATTTAACATAAAATTCTCAACTTCTACCCATAATGTCACAAATGACAGAGTGTTCACCAATTTCATGACCACATGGTATTCCATTGCGTGTACCTATCTCTGTTCCTTTATACATTCATCAGGTGATGGTTGAGTCCATATTTTGGCTTTTTCAAGCAACACTGCTGGAGAAAAGAGAGCACAAGTCTTTTGGACATCCTGCTTCATGTCCTTTGGATGTATAGCAGGGAGTTGGATTACTGAATCACAGGGGACTTCTGTTTTTAGTTTCATGAAGATCCACCCTACTATTTCCCATAAAGGAGATCATTCTTGAGGAAATAGAAGGAAGCTTTTTTTGATGCCCCATGGAGCAAAGAGTGAAGACTGAAGAAGACTTTTAGGAAGTTCAAGTGCTTTGAGGCATGTGGCTTGTCAGGACAACCTGAGGAGGTGGCCAGGGCCTGCAGGATGTCTTGGTGCATTCCTGCTCTTTCATACCAGACCCTAAGTGCACTACCCTCTGGACCGCAGCCACAGCCAGGCAAAGGGCAGGCTTACCTGTTTTGGTGCCCTATGTCTTCAAGAAAACTATCCTCACCACCTGCAGTGGTGACTGGCATTTTGATCCTGTTTCTTTGTTGATAAAATCAAGTAAGCCCATGCCATGTGCCTAGCAACCTACCCAGTATAGTGTTAATGCTCAGGTAGGGAGAGTTCTTTATTTTTTCCTCCCACTTAGGTTAGTGGCAAACACCTATTATGTTCGAGACAGGGTAAACACATAGCTGGGGTGGAGTGCTGATAGATAAATAACTCCTATATCATCTGAGACCAGAATCTCCTGTTGATAATCAACACACTGTAAATACTGTGTGGGTTCAGGGTGAGAGATCCTTCAAAATGACGTTGAATGTGTGCTGACCTCTCCTGCCTATAAATGCTCTGTGTGACTCTTCCTGGGTACTGCCTGGAAAGAGTGCTGATCTTCACAATGGTAGGTAACTGGGTTAGAGGTACCACTCAGGGGTAGAGCACCTGCCTCACATTAGCAGGTAAGTGATTTTATACACAAAGACAAGGACAGAAAGAGAAAGAATATGTACTCTTTACTGTAATAGACTGTGATGTACTTTTCTTTTGGATACAACTTAAAAATCAAGGCAACCTAAGTTTGTACAACCTAAACTGTGTGTATTGCAGTTCAATGTGAACAGTATAATTAAAGTTTGAGAGTTTTGAAAAATCTTAACACATTTTACACTGTTTCTATTCTCCAGTACTAAGTAGTTATTACTTCCAGTAATTCTTAGATTCCTTGAGATTTTGTATGTGTCTCTAAATCTTGGGGCCTGTGGTGAATGATTTGTATAACTGAGTATAATTTCAGAACTTCAGTTCATTAATTACTTCACAAATGTGGAAACTAAGACTGGGGAGGGAAATAGGCTGCCATAGAGTCATTGCCGCATGCCTGGGAAGCTGATATGAGAACCCAGTCATCCCTCTCTCCAAGCCAGGGGCCCCCATACAGGGCTGTCTGTGGAGTCATCTTAGAGTCTGACACTGATTTAACTTGCCTGCAGTGCAAATGGTGCAGTGGGCATTTGAAGGCTACACAGGGTGTTCTAATGTCAGAAGAATTTGGGAGGTCAGCTGCTGGCCCCTTTTGCTATTTCATATTGGATAAAAAAGAATCTTGTTTCTAAATCTATAAAAACCCATGAAGGCCTCCTGTCTGTCTTAAGTTCAAAGTAAACTAGAAAAAAACCTTTCCTTAGCCTGAGCCAGTCACAAGAATGGCCTGGGTTGCTCTTAGATCTGCAGACAACAGGGGAAGGAAGCAGTCACTGGAGAGGAGCCCCTTGATCTCTCTCTGCTTCATGGCCAGCATACCATGAGCACATTTTCACCAAATCAGGCCCTTTTACCATGCAACTGACTGTGCAAGGACTGAAACTGCTACAAATTCTGAACCAAAATAAGACTTCTCCTTTAAACTCTGAGTGTTGGGTGTGGTGTCTCAGTGATAAGGAAAGTGACTAAGACACCGCTGCAACCTACTTTATATTCACATGTCCTGCCAGCCTCCAATTGTGTATTCTTTCTGCCTGCATGTCTTTGTTCTCAATTGGGTGTCAGTTCCTGGCAGCCTCCAATTGTGTGTCCTTTCCCCTGTATGCCTTTGTCCATTTTCATTGTTTTCCAGATTTGTCTTTCCTCTCCTCATTCTTTGACCTCCTATGAATTTTTTTTAAAAACTTCTGATTCTCAAGGGTTTCCCAAATTTCCTCTGTAATGAGAAAGCACACTGGCAACGCAGCTGTGGGATTCTTTTTTTTTGGTACTGGGAATTGAACTCAGGACCTTGAGCTTGCCGGGCGGACGCTGTGCTGCTGAGCTATAGCCCCACCCTGTAGGATTCTTGACACCCATATTCTTCTGTCCATTGTTTATTCAGTGACTCTGGGGGCTGGTTGCCTTTCCCGGTCACCTGAGGAAAGAAGTTCCACATTCATTACCACATCCCAGAGTGCTACATAGAGACCTGTGTGTGACCAGCCGTCCAGGTAGACATTGAATCCACCCATTCTCCACTATGTCTTTCCTTATGTTTCAGAAGGCTCTCCTGGGAGGACTCCTGGTTCTGGCCACCTTTGTGAGGTCATGCAGTGCCCAGTGCTACGTGATACCCATGGAGGGAAGTCAAGATGACTCCCCAACTGGTAAGCTGATTTTCAATGTTGATCAAGTTACCGTAGCTCGTAGATAGGACTGGGTGGCAAGTGAAATTCTTTGAATCTACCCAGGAAGGTGAGTGAGGGAAGATACAAAAATTGAGTCAAGTGAGGGTCCTTAACTTGGCCTGCATATAACACAGTTGTTTTCAATTCTGTCTCGCTGAGAGTTGCCTGTAGATCTATTGAAATTTACCAGTGTTCAGGCTCCATCTAAGACCAATTAATCAGAATCTCTGCAGTCAGAGAAGCACATTCAGAAGCTCCTTGATTAATTTCCCAATCCATTCAGGGTTAACAAGCGTTGCTGAGTCCAAAGAGGTGTTAGACATTGATGTTCATGTATATCCCAGGAAGTTTTCTTGATGTACAGGTGCTGATTTAGGTGACCTGAAGGCAGGTGTGAGACTTGCCTGTCCAGGGAAGCCCAGGAGATACAAGGACAGAGGGTCCTGCAAGCACATGAGGGCTCCAGGTCGCAGCAGTGGTTCTCAACCTTGGTTAAACATAGGTATCTCTGGACAAGTATTCTGAAATGATAGCCTCATGGGCCCCCACTGGAAGATTTTGGTGCCCATGTGTCCCAAGATGTTCACAGGTGCAATATGTGAGAACCAAAGTAAAAAGAAGCAAACTAAAAAAGTACAGGTGAGGCCTTTATTTAGAGATACTCTACCAAGTGAAAGTGGGCTCTTAATATAAGTAAAGAGGAAGGCCTTAGTTATTCTTGAAATGTCTATTTTGAAATAAAATATAGAAGGACTTGGGCTTGTTTTGATAAATGCTATCAGCTTAATGGACCTTGCAGTACTGAGATGTAGCCGGTGGTAAATAGAGAAGCATTGTAATATATGACTTAGAAACTGTGTCTCATCTCTTGGGGGGTCCGAACCTCAGTGTTCTAACATCCATGTCCCTGTTGTATGACTCAGGGACTCCACTAATAGTGCTGTGTGGATTTTTTCCAGAATGCAAGGATTCTGATGGAGTCTCACACTCAATGAACTCCAATTGGGTGAGCAACTGTGAGGCATGTTCTTGCAATAGAAATGGAATTCAATGCTGCAATATGTGAGTCTCAATCCAGTATTGGCCAAGGGGGCGCCTGGCTGTCTCTAAAAAGCAGCTTCTCTGTCTTTCAAAATCCTGTTTTTTGGTGTTTCTAGTAGACTATAATTTGTAGAGCAGGCTTAGGCTCCCAGTGAAATGGATAGAGACAGAGCTCTCCCACCTGTGTCCTTTGCCTATATGCACAGCATCCTGACTGTCAGTACTCCAGAAAAAGTTCCAAGAGCTTCTCTTCAGAGCCTGGACCCACACACGATCATGACTCCACAGTGTCTGCGTGAGGTGTCACCCTGGATGTGGTGGCAGGCTGTAGTTCTCAGTCCTGACCTTGTGCAGATCAAATGCTTTTAGTACACTCATGCTGTTGTGCAACATTCCCCCCCACTCATCCTGAGTCCTTTCATCTTGCACAACTAAAACTCAGCACCCACGCAGTTATCCCTCCTCTTCTCTTGTCCCTCACCCTTGGCCATCACCATCTTCCTTTCTACAAGTGTCACTGCTTTAAGGCCTCTATGGCCTGCATCCATGAAGTATTTGACTTGTTGAGCCTACTTTACTGAATCTAGCATATGTCCTCAAGATTTATCTACTACAGAATGTGTAAGAACATGTTTTCTTTTCAAGGTCTTTATGCTACATTGTATGGACAGAACATGTGGTACTTGTTCTTCATCTTTGAATGGGCACTTGGTTTGTTCCATCCCAGTTTTATTTCTCTTTATCTATTCATTATATTTATTCAGAAATACTCATATGCACATAGGTTCCAGAGGACAGGAAACTGTCTAATAGTCAGATGTTTTTCTAAAATTTACTGTGATGGTCACCATTATTTTGACCTTAGAAGATTTTTCAGAATAGGAACTTTGTGAGCAAAGGTAGAGAGAAAATGTGGGAGGCACCAGTGATGACCTTTAGCCTTTTATACCCTGTAACCCTATATTGCTTACTGCTTGCACTGAACTCAAAGCAGCCAAGGGATGTGTAGGTCTTTTTGCTGTGTTTTTATGGGTGCCAATGGTGTAGACTTTTGAGGATAAAGAATGGGTACCTGCAGCCATGTTTATTCTAGGCACCCTACATCTAAGCCCCCCAAATGCGTCTGATGTCTTCCTGTCAGTCAGGCTTGGCTTGTAACTTTTTCTAAGAACAAGAGTAGTATTTGTTTTTGTATGTTTTTTGCAGTGTCAGGTAGGAATCCAGGACTCAGGCATGCTAGGATAGTGCTCTCCCACCCAGCTTCACCCCAGCCCAGCAGGAGAGTGTTTGCTCATAGAAATGTTGGTGTGAAGTAGCATTTCCCAACTATGTCTCTGTATTTCACTGTAACCAAGATTCTCAGAGAGCCTTATACATCAACCCCTGTAAGTACAGCAGTGGGCAGGTGACTTGAAAAGAATGCCCTAGTACTATGAGAGTTAAAGCATCTGGATGGTTGGGAAGCCTCGTGGTTGATGCACAGAACAGGAGGAGAGTGCCATGACCAGACTGGGAGAGGGGTACAGAGCAGTCTTTGAGGCATTGCAGTGGCTGACTGCTACCTGTTACAGCTTCTTGATTTCGTGGCCCTGCAACTGATCTTGTCTTCAGAGTAAATGACACTGGACTCTGCAGTGTGGTCTTCTCCTAACCATGTTGAGGGCTGGTAAACCATTCCACTTTTATTTTGACTATAGCACAGCACTGATTTGATTCAGCTTCTCTGAGACAATACTTGGATCCACAATGCCCTCTGCAGGACACTGCACACATGCCAGGTGCTCTGTATTTGCAGGGTAAGGCTCCCTGAATTGGGTGATGTCCTTGCTTTTGCTTTGCCCAGGCCCAGCTCCCAGACTTCAGTGAGGTAGTCACAGGGCCAAGCTCATCCAGCTTCCAGTTCTGGGCATCTGATCACTTGATATTTATGGTGTCACAACCTTGCTCAGTCTCTCTCAGCTGCTTCCCCTCCCATGCTAGGTCTGGGTGGAATTAAAGTTGCCTCTAGTAATGGGCCCTATATTCCAGGAACTTGGTTCTGCACATGGAATGCAGAATTATGCATGTTTGTTGTCCATTAGGCACATGGAAAAGGTTAGGTGTTCTTCCGTAATCACTATTTTACTTTAAAGTCTTTTCTGCTGGAAAAAAATATACATTACATAAAAATTTCAAAGCAATCATCAAGTTTAAAATTTCCTGGCATTGAGTAACATTCACATTATTTTTTAATCATCACTATTTCCAAAATTTTTACAGTTTTTTTTTTTGCTTTTTTTTTTTTTTTCCTGGCGTCAGGAATCGAACTCATGACATTGTGCTTGCCAGGCAGGCGCTGTGCCGCTGAGTTAAATCCCCAGCCCTTTTTTTGCTTTTTAAAAAGTGGTACTTTGGGTGAAATCCAGAGTTTTCTCTATGCTGACCTTGAATTTTTTTAATCCTTCTGCTTCACTGTCCCAAATAGCTGGTGTTATAGGTGTCCAGAGCAACCCACAATTCCTGGATTTTCAGAGAGTTTTTATTGTCTTCAAACCAAAAATGTGTACTTTAAGCTGTAATTTCCATTCCTCCTTCCTATCCTCTCAGGCATCCTGTGTTTCACCTTCTGTCTTATTGATTTTCCCTCTTGATCAGGTCAGTGAAACCCCACCACACTTGTCTGCTGTGTGGACTTGTTTCTCTTAGCAGCTGCTTTTGTTTTGTTTCGTTTTGTTTTTTGTTTTTCCGGTATCGGGAATCGAACTCACAACCTTGTGCTTGCCAGGCAGGCGCTGTGCTGCTGAGCTAAATCCCCAGCCCCCAGCAGCTGCTTTTGGTTCAGCTCCATTACTGCATGTTAGGGTTTCTTTCCTTCACTCCATACCAACAGCCAGGAGGTTGTCAACCCATGCTTGATTTCTTCATTTGCATGTGGAGGGACTTTGGGATGAACGCACTTTTGTTTACAGTGAATAACACTGCTGAGAACATACAAGTGTGTTTGAGCTCTGGGGCTCTGAGTCTGTTGGGGTTCTACACTGTTTATACAATTGCTGTGCCATATGGAACTATGGATTGACACTGAAGAGTTCTTGGGGTGTTTTCCTCGTAGCTACACTATATCATATTCCTACATGAAAACCATGTCTGAATTTTAAAAGATTTAAAACAACGTTTGGTATATGTATGAAGAAAAACATATTCATTATAGAGCCTTTGGAAAAAACTCCTCCAGCTTATCATCCACTGTCTAAAAATAATGATCATTTACATTTTATCATAAGTACTTTTTCTTTGGTATCAAACTTCATATTGTCATTTTGTGGTCTGATTTGTCAAATTGAAATCCTAGCATGGTCACTATTCCAGCCCATAAAATCTCTTCAGAATGTTTTGCAGTGCAACTTAGCTAATTCTCAGTCTCATTTAAACCAGGACCTAGAGCCCAAGCATGATCCACAGAATTCATCCATTCACAGAATGATACCCACAGGGATCTGTTGTGCTTTGTTTCTTTGATCATTTTTCCAGGGCCCTGGTAACCATGAACACACATCTGCACTCTTTTTTTAGTGCATCACCAAGGGAAGCAAGTGTCAATATCCAGCAGCCAGACAGCACCAAGAAGTTACATTTCTTAGGGTGGTGAGAATATCAAAATATCCTCTTTTGATAAATTTGAAGTCCAGCATCATCTGATGAAAGGAAACATTGTCTCAAGCTGTTTCTTTTTTTTTTTTTTAAAGGCAGGGTCTCATTATGCAGTTCAGGCTGGCTTTCAGCTCACTTTGTAGCTCAGGCTGGCCTCGAATTTACGATGATCCTCCTGCCTCAGCCTCCCGAGTGCTGGGATTACAGATGTGCACCACCAGGCCCTGCTCAAGCTATTTTTATCCACTTGGGGTCCTTAAAACCCAGGGCCACGGAGTGAACTTTAAAGAATTATGAGCACAAAGCTGTTCGTAGCACTGAATGTGCACTGGGGTCTTCAAGAAGGAGACCCCCAGCTTGATCTTCTTCTCCTGAGAGCCATGAACCTGGGCTGCAAAGGCTCCTTGCTTTTGTTGGTGGAGTTAGCACTTCTGATGACAGGAATCCATACTGAGTGGGGAGAGTCCCTTCTGCTGCAGCAGTACAAGTGACTTCTTGCATAGGGAGGGGTAGAAGGGCTGGGCTGGAAAATGCTTCCTGGCTAAAGTGTGTGGCAGATCTGCCCTGGGCCTGTCAGAAAGTCTCTTGCCTTCTGTGTATGCAGGGAGGAGTGTGGGACCCAGGAGAGGACTGATCTATGTGACTCTATGGTACAGAGAGGTCCAGATGTCTGGGGACCCATTCTGGGGCTGCCACTCAAGGCGTGCCATAGCTTAGTGAGGATCAATCTAGCCAGCAGGAGTGTGAGCTGTTTTGCACACAGAGCTGGATGGACAGCAGCATGGGATGGCTGGTGTCTTTGTCCTTCTAACAGGCCTTGGTCTTCTCTCCCTGACAGAGCTGCTATACCTGTACAATATGACCAAATCAAGTGCGAGTCCCATTTCCATAAGGACAACTGCAGCTACACTGTGGTGGAGCGTGAGAACCCGGGAAAACCCTGTGAAGTTCTTGCCTGGATACTGTAACATCCTCCACTAGGTCTGGTGTGCCCCTGCCAGGCCCCCTCTTGTGGTCTTTAACAATCTGTAATTGTGCAGCCCTCCTTTGCATAAAATCATTCTTAAGCAAACCTTTGAACACATGTGTTCTTTGAATTTACTAATTGCATTTTCAGTGATTGAATGCTGATTGCAAAGCACACAAGTATTTGAAGGAGGAGACAAAAATAGACACAATGAACATCACAGCATGTTTCCTGCACTGCAGTTGGTCATCATATGCGCCTTCTTGGAGGACCATGGGCATCTCTGTCACTTCTCAGCCTTCAGCTTTCTATTTCTTGAGACCTGGTGGGTAAAGTAGAAATAAGAGTCTTCAAGATGAAACTTGAGGCATGATTCACAGAATGCATCCATTCACAGAATGATACCCACAGGGATCTGTTGTGCTTTGTCCCCTTGGTCATTGCCCAGAGCCCTGGTCACCATTAGGACACATCTGCCCTCTTTTTAAATGCATCACCAAGGGAAGCAAGTGCCAATATCCAGGGGCCAGACATCACTGAGAAGTTACATTTCTTAGGGTGGTGAGAATATCAAATTATCCTCTTTTGATAAATTTGAAGTCCAGCGTCACCTGATGAAAGGAAACATTGTCTCAAGCTGTATCTTTCTTTTTTTTTTTTTTTTTTTTTGAGGCAGGGTCTAGCTATGCAGTTCAGGCTGCCCTGGAGCTCACTTTCTTAGTTTGCAGTGTTCGTGTCCACATCTCTTTCTCTCCTTCAGTAAGTGTCTTGTCTGCTCTGTGCCCAATCTCTCTGCTTTGCTTAAGGTCAGATCAAGGCAGGACAGGACAGCCCAGGCTGAGGCAATTCCCACAGGATGCCTTGTAGCCCCATCCCTTAGGGAACTGAGGCCAAGGCTGTGGCTGTGGGTGTCCTGACCTGGGCCCAGTGCTATTTGGACCTTTAGCAGCCTAAAGGCTGGCTCCTTACCTTTTATGGCCAGTCTTGGTAATAAGGACAAGCTCTGTTTTATTTTAGTCCCAGAAAGTCTCATTTCAAAATTCTTATCTTAGTTGAAGAAGAATTAGGACACAACATATCCCTGCTATCTTTGCTTGAAGAATGATTGTGTCTGTTTTCCCCTGGTATTTTGGTGGCTTTTGGGACATTCACTTCTGGCCCTTTTTCTCTTGAGTTTCTTCCTGTTACAAGCTCTTATGATCCTCACAATGCCACCATCTGAATTTAGGCTTCCTTTCCTTTTGTTGAGATGGCTTTCCCAACTCTATTACTCAATAATGGGATAGTATCTACAGTATTCACTAGAAGTCTGTCACCTCCCCACCCTCCTCTTCCTCCTGGTCCCCCTGACTCAGGTAGAAATTAAGACTTTCTGCAGTAATTTACAAAGAACCAACTCAATGCTCAGCCTCACTTTTGAAAATGACTTCCTTGAGCCATGGTGTACAAAATAGCTTTAAGAGAAAAGGGCTTTGGACATTAACTATTTGAGTTCTAAGCCTGAATACTAGGCATAGAAAACACCTTATGCACACCCAGACTAGAAGGTGCCACAGATAGGAGGCAAAGAAAGGTGACTGTTCAAGTGAGTCACTGCAGCAGAGTCCTGCATGCAATACTATACCCTGTCCCTTATTGTGCCATCTATAGACACTAGAGGAAAGGGTTCATGGAATTGAACCCTGAATGAGTAATAGAATCTATAAGCCAAGGAAAGGAATCTCTGCTCACTTCCTGTGGTATCTGTGAATATCAGGATGACTTTCAGCAGCCCCACACCATGGATCATGGGGACAATAACAGTCTGAGACAGATGTACTACAAGTGTTGTTCCCTATGGTATATCTAACAGGACAAGGACAATTAACAGGGCCCCTCAGACCAAGAAAGACCATGAGCCCTGTGAGGGCCTTGCAGTGAGGAGCAGTAAATCAGATGAGGTTGAAGGGTACTGTTGAAAATATCCAGATGTGCTTTTGTGTCCTCTACAAACCATGTCCCCTCCTCCTTTATTCTCCTGGGCCAGAGAGCAGCCATGTGCCACTGCAGAGAATGTGGTCCTTCTTCCACCTTGAACTTCAACCCTGTCTTCTGTTGTGATGCCTGCCAAGATAGTTTAACTGGATGTTGGTACGTGAAAATGGTTTTATTTTGAGAAGGGGTGAGAGGGAATCTCAATGTTGTTTTAATTTGTATTTATCTAATGGTCAATGATATTGAACATTTTTTCATATATTTATTTGCAATTTGTATTTCTTCATCTGAGAAGTATGTATTCATTTCAGTTGCTCACTTTTGGATAGTATCTTTGAATTTGGGAGGTGGGATTTTTTCAATTCTTTATGTATTCTGCATAGAAGACCTTTGTGTGAGGGATAGTTGGCTAAATGTTTTCCCAATTCGTGTATTTCCTTTTCACTCTGTCAGTGATTTATTTTGATGTACAAAACCTTTTGATAAGATGAGATCCAAGTTATTGATTCTTTGAAGTATTTCTTGTGTGGTTTGATTTTTAGTCATGAACTCTGCTTACCCCTATGTCTTTAAGCTTTCTACCTACTTTTCTTCCAATAGATTCAGTGTTTCTGTTTTAAAATGTAGAACTCTGATCCATTTTTATTTTAGTTTAGTACATGAGTATAGTTTTAGTCTTCAGCATGTGGAAAGAAAGTTTTTCCAGCACCATTTATCAAACAGGCAATCTTTTTTACAGTGAACATGTTTGGCCCCTTTGTCAAAGATAAGGTGGCTAAGTGTGTTTGTAGTTGTTTCTGCATCTTCTAGTCTGTTCCACTGATCTTCAGGCCTGGTTTTTTCCCAGTGCAGTGCTGAATTTATCACAGTAGTTTTGTCATATAATTTCAAGTCAGGGATTGTGATGCATCTTGCCTTTCATTTTTTGCCCAGGATTTCCTTTGCTGTTCTACATCTCTTCTGGTTCCAGATGAATTTTAGGAAGTTTTTCTCTAGATCTGTGAGATATGCTAATGGTATTGCATTAAATCTGTATAAGAGTTTACGGAATATGACCATTTCCATAGTGTTAGTTCTTTCTATCCATGAGCAAGGAATCTTTCCATTTTCTGAAATCCTCTTCAATCTCTTTTAACAGAGTATTGTAATTTTCACTGTATAGATCTTTTACTTCCTTTGCTAGATTGATTTCTAAGTTTTTCATTTTTTTGGATACTATTGTGAAGGGTGTGGTTTCCCTAATTTCTCTCTCAATGAGTTTTCGGTTTATGTACAGGAATTGATACAAAACAGCTATTGATATTTTGTTGAGTTTGTTGTTTATGTACAGAAATTGATTTAAAACAGCTATTGATATCATCAGCTATTGATATAACTGATATTAAAACAGCTATTGATTTTTAAGTGTTGACTTTGTATCCAGCTACATTACTGAATTTGTTGATTAATTCAAGGAGTCTTCTTGTGGAGTTTTTGGGGTCTTCCATGTAAAGTAACACGTCATCTGCAAATAGTGATAATTTCACTTCCTCCTTTCCTATCCTTATTCCTTTTATTTCTCTCTCTTGTCTAATTGCTCTGGCTAATGCTTACAGAACTATGTTGAATAGCAGTAGTGACAGAGGATATCCTTGTCTTGTTCCTGATTTTAAATTGAAAGCTTTCAGTTTTTGTCCATTTAGTATGATATTGGCTGTTGATATGTCATAGATAGCTTTTATCAGGTTGAGGTAAAGACAATCTATTCCAATTTTCAGTAGGGTTTTTATCATGAATTAGTGTTGGGCTTAATAGAAAGCTTTTTCTGTATCTATTGAGATGATTATGTGATTTTTGTTTTTGGGTTTGATGATAAAGTGTATTACATTTATTGATTTACTTATGTTGAACCATCCTTGCATTGCTAGGACCAATACCACTTGGTAATAATGTATAATCTTCTTGATGATTTGCTGCATTGTTTGCTAGTATTTTATTGAGGATTTTTGCATCTATGTTCATTAGAGAAATTGGTCTGTAGTTCTCATTTTTGGTTGAGTCTTTCTCCAGTTTTGGTGTCATGTTAATACTTGCCTCCAGGAATGTGTTAGGGAGACTTGCTTCCCTTTCAATTTTATTAAAGAGTTTGAGGAGTATTGGCATTAAAGCTTCTGTAAAGTTCTTGTAGAATTCAGCTGTGAATCCATCAGGAGATGGGCTTTTCTTTCTTTACAAGTTTTTAATCACATTTTCAATTTTATTAATTGATGTTGGGTTATTCAGAAGTTTTATACCTTCTTGATTCAGCTTTGGTAATTCATACATAACTAGGAATCTGTCCATTTCTTCAGTGTTTTTCTTCTTATGAGAGTAAAGATTTTCAAAGTAGGTACTGATGATCTTCTGAATTTCTATTTGATCTGTAGTGATTTCACACTTTTCATTCCTTATTGCCCGAATTTGAGTTTTTCTTTCTGTACTCCCATATTTGGTGCATATGTATTTATGAAACAAAATCCAACAATATACTATGTACAAGAAATACATTTAACTCAGAAGAAATTCATAGACTGAAACTCAAAGGATAGAAAACAAATTTCCATATGACAGGAACACAGAAAACAGCAGGGGTACCTATTTTGTTTGCAGATAAAGTCAATTTCAAACCAAGAATGATCAAAAGAGAAGGTCACTATATACTTGTCAGGGAAAAACTTCAATAGGAAAAGATAACAATCATAAATACATATGCCAGCTGATTATGGACTGAAACCTCTACAAACTGTGAGATGAAATATACTTTTCTGCTTTTTACTTGCAGGTGTCAGGTATTTTGTCCCAGCAATGAGAAAAGTAACTAAGACATCACAACAACAGCCAAGGACATTTACCTATTCACATGCAGAGGGATGTTGTGAGAATTATGCTTCTCTCTTTTTTTTAAAGTGTGCAAAGGTATTTATTAGGTAAGCTCACAAGATCACAGGTATAAGAATCCAAAATGGTCATCTATGCATGAAAAATTCCAGTTAACTGAAGGATTAGAACACTTGGGTTCTGAAACATTTTCTCATGTATCTTTTCCCTTAGTAAAAATTTCTAGTCAACTTTGGGGAAAGCTTGAATTTAATAAAAACCTCATTTTCACTTAAAATGCATTCATTTGATGAAAGTGTCTGTCTTGTAACTAAAATTACTCTTCTCCTCTACTCATTTCTCTTTCTTCATATTTTGTAAAATTCAAATTCTCTAAAGATATGATACCTGCAAACCTGGTGTTTAATCCTAAATTACCTATGTCAATTCCTGGAAAATATCCTTACTTCAGATGATTTGCAAGGCAATGTTGATTTCATGCATTTGTGAAAGGTTTTTGTGAAGGTTTTTGCCTTATACCTGCCCACCTTACACAAGCACTCAAGTAGTATTAGCATGAAGAACAACTATTTTACACACAGTAATGAGAAAACATTAATAGTCATAGGTCAGTGACAGAAAAGAATGGTAAATTTTGTGGGCCTTGGCCATTCAGCCATGATTTTTGTTTTATTTTGTTTAAAAATGTGTTAAAACTGAAAACATATTTTGTCAGCTACCTCTTCCCTTGCCTTCTTGGAAGTCCATATGTTCTATGGGGAAAATTGAACTCAGCTTCATTTTAGATTTTCAACTTTTTAAAAGAGCTATTTGATGTGCAAAATTTGTATGACTTTAGAAATCAGATCTAAAGTCAATTTTTGGACAAAGTTCAGACTACATTTTTTGAACTCTTTAAATAATTATTTGGGTCAGATTGGAAAGTTCAGTCCTTTTCTGAGGCTAGTTGGAAGCAGAATGACACATTGGTAGTCCATATTTATACATTGCTAATTGTGCATGTTAGGGAGTCATACTTTTTTT